GCCGAGGTGGACTACATACCTACATTATTATTATTATAACTGATACGTATGTGTACCTGTACTTAAGTAAACTTACACACTCTGCTGGCATGCAGATACACATTAAAATCATTAAGAGTGTCTTATTAGTCTTGCAGATGCCATATTAATAATGATAATAATAATAACTCTAAGGAGCATTAAATATCGTATAAAATGTTAATATAGACATCTTGCTTAATCCATCTAAATACACCCCACAGTAGAATAAATTAACATAAACATAAGATGTGGTAGCCAGGTGACCTGTAGGACTTGTGGTAGCCAGGTGACTTTGTAGGACTTGTGGTAGCCAGGCAACTTGTGGTAGCCAGGCAACTTGTGGAAGCCAGGCAACATGTAGGACTTGTGGTAGCCAGGCAACTTGTGGTAGCCAGGCAACTTGTGGTAGCCAGGCAACTTGTGGTAGCCAGGCAACTTGTGGAAGCCAGGCAACTTGTAGGACTTGTGATAGCCAGGCAACTTGTGGTAGCCAGGCAACTTGTGGTAGCCAGGCAACTTGTAAGACTTGTGGTAGCCAGGCAACTTGTAAGACTTGTGGTAGCCAGGCAACTTGTGGTAGCCAGGCAACTTGTGGAAGCCAGGCAACTTGTAGGACTTGTGGTAGCCAGGCAACTTGTAGGACTTGTGGTAGCCAGGCAACTTGTAGGACTTGTGGTAGCTGGGCAACTTGTAGAACTTGTGGTAGCCAGGCAACTTGTAGGACTTGTGATGAAAACCAGACTCGTTCATCTGGTTTGTTTACATTATATGTGGGTGGGGTGGGGAGGGCTGCCCTTCCTGGCTACTCATACTTCCCAACTTTACTTCATACAAATAAAACTCACCTCACCCTACGTTAAGACTACAAATATTTTAAGGTAATTAATGAGTGTACTATACATATGCATTTTATTGCTCTAGGGAGCTTAACCCTTTCAGGGTCTGTGCCGTAGATCTACGGCTTTACGTTGAGGGTCCAAACCGTAGATCTACGCCATGAGCTCAGCTCACTCACCTCACATGTCTAATACACACCAGCTGGTGGGTCTAATATACGTTCACAAATGTGGTGAGATTATTTATACAATTATTACAATATTGCATAACAGTAAATCTTCTATTTTTTGGTTTGAATAAAAATTCATTTTGTGAATAAAAAATCAAAATGGAATTTATTTGTAAAGCCTGAAAACATAACTAATGAACAGAGGAAATGTTAGTTTAGTGCCAGGAATGCCTGCATTGTTTATTCTGGACCCTGTTTTGAAATTGGAATATTTTGAACTTTGCACTAAATTGGCCAAATTATCAATTTCCGATCACATTATTTTGTAGTTGAAACAGTTGATTTGGTGATTTCTTGTGCTCAATCTATAGAAATGAAGTAATACTACTGAAATAACTAAGAATTTGGTCGACTGGATTAATGTAATTGGCCTAAAATGGGAGTCAAAGTAGGCAAAATCATAGCTGCGTAAATATCGCTGACACATCAAAATTCGCGGGAGCATAATTTCGTCAGTTTTCCATCAAATTTCGTACTTTTTGTTTTATTACCTTCAGAAAAAGATTCTCTACCATTTCATAAGAAAAAATAACAAAATTATTTTTTGAAAATTCTTGGACACTGGTGCACACTTTGAAATTTGGCCTCTGGACCCTAAAAGGGTTAATGTCGTAGTAGGTATAAGTGGCCAGGCAGGAAGCCATACCTCCCACATGACTTTCTACAGATAAATACTTTTCATCTCTCACCCTACATTAAGGCCATTAAGACTACAAATATTTTAAGGTAAATAATGCATCTACTTTATATGCATTTAATCACTCTAGGGAGCTTTAAACATTTAAATATTTTGAGGTAAATAATGAGTGTACTGTGTGTGTATTTTACTTTTTAATGCCTAGTTCTATTGCTAACTTAATATATGTTAGTATAAACTTGTTATCTGGCATTCATATGCATTTATAAATGGAAAAAATGGAGTTCTGCTTTCCGGCAAAGTCTGCTTTCCGGCAGTAGCCTGGAACCTAACCTGCTGAATAAGTGGGGCCCTACTGTATGCTCTCCAGGCCACAAGCAGTGCTCTGCACAGCTCCAGAGCCATACAAAGTGAGAGAGAGTCCCTGAACAATATTTTTCTTACCTCTCAAATTTTTTTTTTTGAAATCTATATAACTTATGAATGCTTAACCCTTTGGGGGTTTCGGCCATACTAGTACGGCTTACGCCCCAGGATTTTTGACATACTAGGACGCCTAAATTGTAGCGCCCTCAAATCTAGTGAGAGAAAGCTGGTAGGCCTACATATGAAAGAATGGGTCTATGTGGTCAGTGTGCACAGTATAAAAAAAAATCCTGCAGCACACAGTGTGTAATGAGAAAAAAAAATCTTTGACAGTGTTTTGGGATTAAAACAGCGACTTTGCACTGTATTTTCATATGGTATTTATTGTTGTATTCTAGTTTTCTTGGTCTCATTTTATAGAATGGAAGACAGTTACAGAAATTGAGATGATTTTGACTGGTTTTACAATGAAAAGTACCTTGAAATTGAGCTCAAAATAGCAGAAATGTTCGATTTTTACCGAAGTTCAAAAGTAAACAAATCATGCCAAGCGTCCAGTGCACATCAACTGGTGAGTCTAATATTCTTTCACAAATGTGCTGATATTATTTATACCATTTCTACACTAATGCATAGTCTGCATAACAGTAAATCTATTATTTTTTGTAAGAATAAAAATTCAAAGTGGAAAGCCAAAGAAATGTAAGAGGGGCCTGGGGATGTGAGTAACGAACAGAGAACTTGTTATTTTAGAGCCAGGAATGTCTTTCTTGCTTATTCTGGACCCTATTCAGAAATTGGCATCTTTTGAAATTTGTGGGAAATTGGCAAAATTGCTAAATTCTGACCATTTTATTGAATAGTTGAAATCAGTAAATGGGTGGTTTCTTGTACTCATTCGATAGAAAAAATGGAGTTCTAGCAAAATAGTTACGATTTTTGTCGACAAGTACACTGGAATTGGCCGAAAATAGGGCTCAAAGTGGGCAAAATCGCCGATGCGTAAACATCATCGAGATTGCTAACTTCGCGAGAGCATAATTCCGTAAGTTTTTCATCAAATTTCATACTTTTGGTGTCATTATGATCGGGATAAGATTCTCTATCTTTTCATATGAAAAAATAATTTTTTTTTTTAATTTTGGAGACCCTGAGAACAAGTCTCTGAGAGGGCCTGGCGACCCCCAAAGGGTTAATTTATTAAAAGCACCTGTAAAAAAGTCTAAAGAGAATATTCAGTACATTAATGTCAAGAGTACTCTAAAGATCAGTAGAAAATGAATTGATTAATCAAGAGGGTAGGTATATGAGTATTGAAGTCACAGTTATGTGTAATTACAGTGCAGATATGGTAATCTACTAATCTGGAATGCTAAATTTATTCAGGTTGTGTGATTGGCAGCTGAAATCTTTTTTCTGTCGTACCTGAGCGCCTTTGCAAAGACTGTGATTATGTATGAGTGATGGTGAAAGTGTTGAATGATGATGAAAGCTTTTTCTTTATTTTTGGGTCACCCTGTTTGTATCCTGAAAAAGGAAAGTTAAAAACCCAGAACTGTACATAAACATAATTACACTGAAAGTTTACTTTCTCTTACTATTAACAGTGATGTACCTACTCAACCTGTATTTCTATAATTGTTGAATACAAATTACTAAATGATTTATTTAAGCTGTGTGGTGAAGATATAAACTTCACTGAGGTGCTGTTATTGTTGGGTTTTTTAGGGGAACTACACCTTATGCCATCTCAGCCTTCCACACCACTGGGAATTGGCCTCATACAGCACAAGATGTTGTAGCAATTAAAAAAATAGCAACACCCTCCCACATATTTTATCAGAGTTCTACTTCTTATTCTTGGTTATTACTTTGTTCAATGCTTTATCTTCAGTATATGTTTGTCTGGTATAGGTGTTGTGAGTTCCTATATATTTGATACAATCTGATAAGGAAATGCGGCTTTTACTTTCACGGTATTTGCATGTGTACCAATTGTTGAGATGATAAGCCTTGCTATATCCAACACAAGCCAGTAAGGCCATGTTGGTTCTCCTCCACACATGTCCCTTTCAACAAGCAACATGTACTGCAATTTTACATATGATAAAATTTATTAGTATACTAAAAAAAAAAAATCAGCATTTTTGGAGGGGTTTAGAATGTAACCCTAATTTTTCCATACATTCTTCACTTTTTGTAACTCCTTTTTTGCATAAAACAGTGATTTTCAGGAAGATATCCTTCACATTTTGAGGGGGTTTACTGAATTTCAATCCTCTATTTCAACTATCTGTTTGGGGTTAAAGCCACTACATCTCATTTCTTTTTTTTTTTTTAATTCATTCTGGAACTCTGTATTTTAATGCACTCTGGAACTTCATATTTTGTATCTTATACATTTCCTTTTCCAGTCTGGAAATTTTGTCATCCTTGATTCTTTGCATTTTGTCATGCACACTATTTTGCTTTTTTGGAAAGGTAAAAGATTTGGTTCTACCTTGCTCTCTTTACCATTCCCTCTTCAAGGTTTCTTTCTTCCTTCCTCCTTACTCTTTAGAGGGTAATAAAACACTGAAATTAAAAAAAAAATAACTTACTGACTCATAATTTTATCAAACATAATTTGAGTATTGCCCTAGGTTTAAGTAAAATTCTGCATATGCCTGTAATAATGTATGTTAATATAAATATTTTTTTTAAGGACCAGTATGGATTGTTAAGACTCACTTCCCCTTAAACCTTGATTAAATTTGTGTAGTTTTATAATATTGTTTAGGGAAACTTAAAAATATTACATAATTTGAAAACCTTTGCACTGATGAATTTAATTTTGATAACTAAAATTTATGCTCTAAATGATTTTGTATGTTCTTGAAGATGATTTTTATTGATCCTGCCAACCTTCAGAGAAGAGCAGTCGAGAGCAGCGCACAGTGGACATGTCTCCAACATATGAGAGTGAGGAGAAGAAATATGCTGGTGAAGAGAAGATTGTCACTGAGGAGAAGGTGACAAAAGACGTAACAAAAGATAGTTCTAGTATTACAATAAGTACTACATCAGCAGCTGTTATAAAGGAGCCTACAGAAAAATCTAAACTAGAAATGGTTATTAAAGAAACAACTGTATCAGAGCCAGTTCAAGAAACAAAGATCGAGTCCATCATAAAAGAGCAAGTTGTCTCAGAGCCCATAAAAGAGATGAAGGTAGATTCATCTTTCACCGAACCTGTAGTTTCGGAACCTATTGAAGAAACTATTACAACAGCAGCAGAAGAGGTTATTTTAAGAGAAGAGCCACTAGATTTGTTGGAAAATAATAAAATTCATTTTACTGTGGCAGAGGCTGAAGAGAAAGTGATTGAGAAAGATGAACAGGTAGTAGAACAGGAAGCATTAGAGAAGCCTATTGTTAAAGTAGTAGAAAAGCCTGTAAAGGTTGAGGAGAAAATTCTAGTAATGAAGGAGGTATCTGAAGTGCCTAAAGACATTTTAGCTCCAGAAACAGAGGACCAGCAAAAGATACAGACGACAGTTACAACAGAGATTATAAGTGGACCGGAAGGAATTCTGACCCCTGTTACTACCACAAAGAGAGAATCATATACTACTTCAGAGGATGGAACTGTACAAGAACATATTGTTGTTACAAAACAGATCACTAAAACTGTTGTTGATGGATTACCAATGGAAGAAGAAGACAAGTCCATCATCCTTCAGAAACTTGGTGAGGAACTAGGCAGACTGGATGAGAAGTTAGAGGAGAAATTCAAGGAGAAGAGAAAAGCAGATGAGCCAGAAGGTAAATGTCAGTTGCACGTCATAGGGGATATGGGTTAAAAAGAGCTGGAGTTTTAGATAATAGTTTGCAGGAATAGCACGCTTAATCCTCAACCTTGTGTGGGGAACACTTGTCTTGCCTGCTGTAAATTGTCCATTAAGTGTCACCTAACCTTATTAATAGAGAAAATGTAAGTAGATAAATGGTTTTAAGGGCATCCCGAATCCCTGAAATTTCTGTAGTCCATTGAAAGTCATTTTTTATGTAATTATAATTCCACATCAGTAATCGCTTCAGAAATATTGGGTCTAGGCTATTCTTAACCACTTTGCTGGAAATTTATTTATGTTGACTTAGGTGATATATAATACCATAATTATTTTATATTATTTACATCCCTAACATCATTATTTGCCTTTATTAAATTGATCCTTATTGGAAAAATAATGCATGATTGAGTTTATTTATTTAGTATACAGCTTTAAGGCTAAGGTGTTAGGATACTCATTTGGGATTTGGGATATTCATTGTGTATGTGCACTGTATGATCAAATATTTCATTATGATAGTGGTGGTAAGCATTTTTTTTAATTAAATGTCTTCATGTTGGAAAAGCATTACATAACTACACTTTAATATTGAAGCTTTAGAAACATTTAAATTCTAGATGTTCTGAAGACATATTTGCATGCAAGTATACAATAGCCATGAAATAAATTATCCCTTTGTTAAAGCATGTGTGAGGTGAATGCTCTTCCCTACTAACCTGAGTTAGTTGCTTAAATTATACATGAATTTTATAGGTTTTGTTATTACAGAGAAAGTTTATTATAATGCTACAGGTTTTTAATGAATACATTGTAGGTTTCTGTCATTATGCTTTGAATTTCATAGGCCTTTTCCTTCAACATCGGAAGCTTGACCAGTTAAAAGCCAGTACCACATTACATAACTTTGACACAATTCCACAAATTACCATAGTTTCTGAAAACACATTAGACCTATACTATACTCTGTCTTACCCTTCCTTCGGCTTCTGTAACCACCCATGTGCAGGTTTCTTTTTAAAGCCTTTCCATTAGACCATGTGTTTTATTATCATTGAAGTGATATGTTTTGTGCATGAACATCTTAGTAGAGAAGTGTAGAAATTTTGTCAACTTTATAGAGTAGACCTTTTTTAAAGTAATTTGAAGTAATGCATCAACTTTTAAATTGAGATTTATCATTATTTTCATTTCATTGGAAGATTATTCATGAATGTATATATGTTTTTATACTGTACATTTACTTGATAATAGATAGCTGTATGTAATGTCTTTGTTGAGAAGGATAATGTCGTACTAAGTTAAGTGATTTGTTGGCTCACTTTTGCACTGTTGCACTGATCATAGTGGCACAAGAAGAGGTGATAGAGGAAGCGGTAGTGGCTATGCGTCGTGAGGGCCATGCCCAACCTACCTCACAGATTGTGGTGGAACATGGCTCTCTGCCATCCACTCTTTCTGTGACCACCACTACTACCACAACAACTTCAAGGATCGCTCCTATACCAGGTAGAATGGTTTATATCACTAAGATGATATATTCTTGATATCAAATCAGTTATGAGGATTGAAGCTGATAAACAATTATGATACATAACATCTGTTTAATTCCCAACCATTCATTTGTTTTAAATATCCATATATTGTATGGCTAAATTGTTGTTCATAAATAATCATACATTTTAAGTTGCAGTTTTTTACTCAACACACCTTATGTTTCCTCTAAATGTCTCTCTGTCTCCCTTATAGTTTTTTTTTTTTTTAAATTCAGTCCTCTACAAGTGTTGTTGATAGCAAGGAATATTTTTTGGTTATTCATGATATGCAGCTAAGGCACACGTATTAGCTTCATTCACCTAACACGTTTGCCTATCACCAGCATCTGCTTGAGGATGCATTGCAAAGCTTAGCTCTCAGTTTAATTTTTTCCCAGTCATGAAATATAGGATAACATTAATTCATTACTGGTTAAGAGAAATAGAAAAGTTTTCTTTTTTTAAAGTGAATTTTGTTTCCTTAATAAATTGGATTACTGTATGAGAGCTTCTAGTAATTATAAAAGTATATAAGTTGCTATAATTTTTTGGTCCATGTCTTTACCCTTGTCTTTGGTCTTGTCCTGTCCTCTTCCAATTTTCCTCTTTTTCTTCTTTTATATTACTGTATTTTGATGCTTCTTCTGATTCACGTCCAGAGTTGAATGTGTGTGGAGCAATATATGATAAGTGTAAAGAATGAGGCAAAACAATTAGTAATATATTCATAGACATATCCTGACGACATTTTCTTTTATATACACCTTATCTTGCTATCAGTGTTATTGCATGTGCATATAAGTGTGCTGCAGCAAAGTAACTTTACTAAATAATTACTTTTGTTATGCTATATACAGTACATCAAATTGCATCTTCTGTAATTGTTTCAATACTGCGATTGTATCCATAATGTAGTAATCTCATTTTTTATATAGTAAAAGAAAGGTAATAAGTGAAGGACATAAGTTTTAGTTTTATATTAACTGTGTATTCATTTGTTATGCACTTAACCATTTAAAAAATTATCGTTATACTCTGTAATATATATTGTTTTCTCATGGTAACTTTGCTACTATATGCTTTTCAGAAAAAAATACATGAGTGGGCATATCCTTTTTACATACTGTTCTTTTACATTTTTTTCTTTTGACCAGTTGTTTATGGCTATATTTTACTCTAATTAACCCTTTTAACATGCACCATTTAATTTTGCAAAAAACTGGTAGAAAACTGCAGAGCAAACCTTTATTATATATTGTACTATGTTTCCTTCTTGGTAGACCTATATCAGTTTTTTTTCTTTAACCTCAGTGGCCATCTCCCACTAGGGCAGGGTAACCCAAAAAGGTAAGGACATCACCATCGTTCATTCATTTGCTGTCTTACCAAAAGCATTTTGACATCACAGTCAGTGTACTTGGTTATTAGTATTTTCATTTTGTGCTTTGTATTAATTAACCCTTAAACGGTCCAAACATATATATACATTCACTTGCATAGCGCCCCAGATTTTTTTAGAGAAAAAAATTGTCTTTTTTTAATAGGAAAAAAGAGCATATGGTACCCAGGCATCCCCAATTATTTTAATATGGCACGCAATGAGTGCACACACCCATTCTCTCATGTCTAGGCGACTCAGGCTTATCGTGGCAATGTTGAATGAATGACAAAGAAAACGTATATATACGTTTGGGGCGCTACGCGTGTGAACGTATATATACGTTTGGACTGTTTAAGGGTTAATGAAACTCTACCTAGGGCTAAACATTGTTGATAATAGAGGTTTGCTCTGCACTAAAAGTCAGTCTACCATACCTGTCAGCAGTACTCATCATTCTGCAAGTGGTAAAAATGTTTTATCAACTAAAAATATATAATTGTCATGGTGCTAATTCAGGTGTGCTGTGACTTTTTTTTTTTTTTTTTTTTTATGAAGGGGTCCTGTCTAAGGTCTTGAGCAACAACATTTTACACAGGAAAAAATAATGCCCTCATATCTGATTCACAAAGCTGTACCCAATACTGTACCTAACTGACTTATGGTTTTAACCAGCTATCATATCATGAATTTGTCTATTCTGAATTAGCCTCTCTTTTACAAGCAGATAATGAGTGTTAGAAATTTCTGACTCAAAATCTACTTGAAGAAAACATTGTTAAAATGAGTAGCAACACTGATAAAATATAGCATATTTAATAGCTGAAGTGATGATTTTCCAGATTTATCAATATGCCCCTGCCCATTAGACATCACCAGTGATGAATTCAGGATAAAGTTCCACCACATGGTTGGTGGAACAGACTCCCTCACCAACCATTTGTTTCTGATGTATTTGATTTTGATAATTCAAACTTTTTTTTTTTTTTCAACAAGTCGGCTGTCTTCCACCAAGGCAGGGTGACCCAAAAAGAAAGAAAATCCTCAAAAAGAAAATACTTATTCAAAATACTAATTCAAACTTATATACTTATATACAAACTTATAACTTATATTCAGGTAAATATTGTAGCAGTATAGTGTGCTAAGATAATCACCAAAAGATGAACAGCTGCTTATTACAACAGACCCTCTAAGACTATGATCTCATGGCTTATAAGTCCCACTGTGTAGAAAAAGTTCCATCAGCAGAAAAGAAATCTCAAAAATCTTCATTATATGTATATACAAAAGTTACATAAAATAAAAAAACCAAAGAAACACACCGCATATTTATAGAGAATGAGTCACAGGGTCTTATGGCAATGTATGAAGTGACTTAACATTGTTTAGAGCACTTAGAAGTGATAAAGTTGGAAGATCTAACATTCAAGGATAACTAGATCTTGGAAATAAGATGCCAAGCCAGTGATGATACTCTTAAAAGTCACTTGTTTTCTTTAGAGTAAAATCTTGCTATATGCTTACAGATATGGAGAATGTAGAGAACTTTTACTGTCTATAAATATAATCAAGTTCCTACATTACTAGAAACACTTGAAGTCCCTAACTGTATTCCTTGGAACATAGGTAGAAATGTACATCATAATTTACACTTGGAAAATTTAAAGGGATTGGGCTCGAATCTGCTCACAGAAATCACTCTACAAAAGCAAGAGATTTGGCGGATGATACACTTTATCCCAGTGAAGAGCAAGAGTGTAATGAGTACACTAAGAATAACACAGTAAATGTAAAGGAACCAAGATTTTCCAGCACCCTTCCTTCATACATCACTGGAATTACAGACAGACCCCTAGCTGTGTTCAAGTGGGAACTTGATAAGTTCCTCACGTTATTTTCTGACCAGCTTTGCTGTGTCACATACAATGAGTTCTCTGTGGCTAGCACCAGCAGCCTGGTGTGTAAGGGAAACATAGCAGTAAGGAAACAAGGGTGTAGAGCAAAAATGGGAGCAAAATATGACAACACATTAATTACATAAGACACTTGTGTGCAACATTAGCCAACTTTAAAATAGCATTTACATATGATAGATAGGGAAATGCTGGAAGAGCTGTTCACAACATACATTAGGCCAAAATTAGATATGCAGCAGTACAATAAGACCCCTGTATACATGGGAGATGCGTTCCAAGGACCTGCCGCAGATACTGAAACCTTAGATAGTAGCAAACCTTATACAGTAAGTCCTCTGCTTACAAACACATTGAGAATCTTCTGTACTGTGTATAATATCATTATTATATCATTATTGTGTACAATACAGAAGGTCCCCAACGTATTCATAAGTTGAAGACTTCCTGTATTATGAATATTATACACAATTCAGGAGGTTCCCAGTGTGTTTGTAAGTCAAGGACTTGCTGTATATAAGTCCTATACATATCTGTTATGAAGGTTAATTGATAAATTATGCACAGTAAGTAGAGAATTATCACTTTTTCATTGATGGGAAGCACTTCATGGTTTCTCTTAGGCTTTGAAGAACTTTCACCATCACAGCTTTTGCACTTTGAGGCCATTATTAAGTAAAATTAGGGATTATTTGTAGGCCACAGTAAACCGTGGATAACTGAAACCGTGAATACTGGATCCGCAGAAATGGGGGGTCCTACTGTAGTATGGTATCTACATCATTAAAACATGCGAAAAAACTGGAAAATTCTATTGTTGGCTGATATGAAAAAGACGAGATATGATAACTACATTCAAGATTATAAAAGAATATATAACTGACAGAATAATAGGTCACAAAGGTAAAATAAGGAAGAACTGCCAAATGACTGCTTGAGTGTTTTTCTTCACTAACAGTAATAAGAGAATAGATTGATTTACAAAAGCAAGTAGTAAGTGCAACAACCACTGGGAATTTTGAAAATCTTTGATGTTCTAAATACTGTTACTGATAGACTAGATACTGAAGGCAGGACACCATGAGCTTTGCTCTGTTCCTTTAGGTACAAATAGGCAATTGTAATGTCTCCCAAAAGTGGTTACTGTCTTATACTCTGAATCTGTATTTAATAATTAATTTTTTCTACTCAGTTTTATCATGCTCTTCTTCCTCTTAGGAACCAATCCTTTTCAAGGGGGGCTCCTTGGCGTGGTGAAGAGGCTCTTGGTCTGAGGAATTAGACCTGTCGGTCTCCTTCCTCAGAGCGAACCTAATTACCCCCCAATCCCCCCTTCCCTATCCCATCCTCCCCTTTTCCCTTTCCTCCTCCCCCTCCCCACCCCTCCCTTTTGCCCTTCCTCTTTTTTGGCCTTTGGGATTTTTCCCACGGGCGCGCTAGTTCCTAGGTAGGGGAAAGGGTACCAGGGTCCATCCCATTCCGTTGAGGTTCTTGGCGGTGGCGTAGTTTGCCGTAGAATCTGGATCGCCTGGGGATGTCCCGATCCCTCTCCGGTATCCCAGAGAGTGGCTTTGGGTGTCTTTCAGGCGACGGGTGTATCTCTGGAAGCCACCTTTCGAATTCCGGGGGTGGTGCCTGAAGGAGGTATGCTTTGTGGCGGATATCCGGCCGCCCTCTCTT